TATATTTTTGTATTTATTTATATAAATGTATTTTATATATTTTGTATGTTTATATTTTATTTCTATTTTATATTTTTTATATTGGGACAAATGCCTGCTTTGTTTTTTTAATGTGTTCAAGCAGCTTTTTGCTGTTATACCTTAAAATTGTGCATGGATTCATGCAATGCTACGTAGGAATCAAACATCAATCACCTGTTTACAGGGATAAATGGTGACTTCCACCCTTTCTACAGGTGGAATTATAAAAAGGCACTTCTGCCACCACCCCCTGGGTCACAGAGCACAGGTGACAGCTAGGACAGCCCATGAGGTTTGAATAAAATCACATTTTCAGACATCCAGCTTAATCCCTAGAGGCTTCTGCAGTCTGAAAAACCAAAACCTACTTGAAGGCAATCCATTTCATCTTCTTCTCTTCTCCATTTCTTCTCCTCACCTTCTGCTTTCCTACCCGGATGTCAATTATTTCATTCTTTCTTTTTTCCCCCCTTAGATCTAATATTTTCTGTCATTTACCAATACTAGCCCAGAATATGCTTTAGTGGCCATACAACTACCTCAATAATCTTATAATTTCCCTTCTGACTTCTTGTAGTTGCTTCACAATGTTTAAATGTAAATATAAAAGCTAACGACTGAAATTTTGAGATTTACAAAATTGTAATCTTCTTGTAATCTGAATATGAAAAATACAGCTAAGTTTGCCAACCTGACTTTGAAAATCAGTCTTTTTCACTGTATGAAATTTCAAATGTTCCTGTGTGTAACTGTTCCAGATTTTAAGGGATGAAATCACCTGGAAATCCTGATCATCAGTCTTCTGCTTCCCATCCATCCCAGATATTTTTTTTTTTAAATCTTGAGAAAAGTCTCCTGTGTTCTAGCTAGCTGCTAATTTTGTAATGTCTGCAGTTTCCTGACCACACTTTGAACAGCTTTAGATGGGATTATCTATTGCTTTAATTTCAATTACAATTAAGCAACCCAAGAAAAGTCGAATAAAGAGCGTTTTTATAAATCTATATTCATAGATTCAAACAAGTATTTTTTTTTCATTAACAAATAAGAAGTGTAGAGGATGATACGGTTTTAGATGATATTTAGATATTTGGAGAACAATTCCTGCCACAGCAGTATGAGAAAAATTTGTTGTCACCAATATTTTATTTAAAAAAAAAAGAGACATTGTAGTCATGCAATACCAGCAAATACCCAATACTGGTATTTTTACTGTATGTGGACCAACAATTATTGGAGTATCGTGTTGTTCACGCACAGTGATTCTTTAGTGTGCCCAGTTTAGGTTGGAATGGTCATTTATTTCATGGAAAAAAATAGAAAAAAAATAAAATATCCCATAATCTTCAGTGCAAGAAAGTGCAGATTCTTATGAGAAGCTTTCTTCGTTTGTTGGCGGAGGTGCAAAACCTCAAATCTGCGGGGAAAAAAAAATACCTTTCAGCAGAGTAATCCAGAGCTCTGGCACCGTTTCTGTGAGCTGGCCCTGGAAGGAATTGCATTTGTATTGTGAACATTAGTACCATTTCTGGGATAAAATACATTTCTTTTCCACTTTTGAATAATTTACCCTTTTCTTTTAGAGTAGAAGGCATTACTGCCAAAATAGCGTGAGCATAATCCACTGCAATTAGAGGGCCCATGCAGCAGGCCCAATGGAAACCCTACATCATTTCAGAAGTACTGAGACTGCTTAAAAGAGAATTACAGATAATGTTATAAGTTATAAAAATAGTTCAGTGTAGAGTTCTTGCCCGCTTTGGTCTGCTCTCACCCCGTTGCTTTCCAGCCCCGTCGTTCCATACGGCGTGACAGCAACTCCTCCTTTGGGAAGCAGGGAAATGTCCTCCTACACAACCTTTTCAGGTGATTTCTGTTCTGAAGATGGCTGCAGATGGATTTTGGAGAGGTTGTGGTGCTCAGTGTACTCTCTATGAGGCTGGATAAAAGGGAAGGGCTTGCTGTATTGTGCTCAGAACAAAACATTCCCGACACGCGGAATGCGCTCGCGTGTTCACAGTGTGTACCCTACAAGTCATTTCTTGACACTTTTTAACTTTAAATAGCAGCTTTTCAGGAATCTCTGACTTGGTGCTTTACATGGCCCTCATCACAATTGTTCTCAGAGCAACTGGAGAACGATTTTTCTTCTTGGATAGCATTGCATGGGGTAGAAAATTTGTATGTCCACCTCAGAGAGGCCCAAGGCTGAAAATACCTCGGGTCATTGGTCCAGTCTGTCATGATGTGTTTAGAGGAAGTCCATAAGCCAGTGTGAGATACCCTTGTGTCTGATCCTTACATTGTCCATCTCACCTCCAAAAATATCAATATTAAAGCTGGCTGCCATATCAGGCAGGAGCTAAGAACTTTTGAATTGGTTTTGTATTGAAATAATAATTCTTTCATAATTATCTTTAAAGCTGATCTCCCACACTCCTCCTTGGGTGTGTCTGTGGGGATTGGACTCTGAAGAAGTCTAATTTTCCTCATTGTGTGAAGGTCAATGCCTCAATCTCTTACCTGATAGAATCCATATTAAATGTGCATCTCAGTAATCACATGAAGAAAAAAAATCTTAGGAGCAGCTTTCCTTCAGATGCCACCCCTTTACCAAGGCTGTTTTCATGGATTGAGTCTTCCTTGCACACTTGGGCAGTACAAATACTTCAGGGGAAGGTGTGGTGTTCACTCTTGTGCCACCTGATTCATGAGCAGGATCTTCCCATCTTAATCCTACAGCCAGTCTCTCTCCACCTCTCTGTAGAGGAAATTATTTCATTAGAATCGCTGAGTAAGGAGACCTCAACTTCTAGTAGGATTGTATTTATGCTGGAGAAATTAATGCCAGCTAATGGTCTTGCTGCTTGTTCTATTTTCCTTGGGTATTTGATTTTTGGTAATTGGCCCAACTTGTGTCCTACTGTGGGAGCTTGGCAGAGAGAGAGGGATAAAGAACGGAGAGAAAGATTTGTAGGTGTCGGAGACAGCTTGTGTATGTGCCTGCATACATATGTGAGCTGGCATAAAGCAGGGCTGTGGGGATTTTAACTCTTTAAATAATGCTGCACATAAATCAGCTAGCTGAGGATGTGACCCAAGAAAGGCAGGAGAAATATTTACAGGTGCTCTGGCAGTGTTTGATTTTTGGGCAGGGGTGATCGGCATGCACTTACCTCCCAAGACACTTTGTCCGTGCAAGGGTGAATCATGCAAGGCTCAGTTGACTCATGGGTGGGAAAAAATGGAGTTAGCACAATCCAAAATGGCAAGGATTTGTGGTCACAAGAGAAAAACAAAATGTACATTTAAACAACAAATGTAGGCAGTGAAGCATTTTCTGTTCAGTCCTTTTTTATAATGGAGAAGGAAGGACTTGACTTCTTTAAGAAAAGGGAACTTGAACTGAAAATGAAAGCCAATATATTTCCATCCTACCTCTAGCTGTGATCTTGCCTGATCTGGTAAGTTAAATGGGTAAGTGCATGTGACATTATTAGAGGAAAATTAGGCAAGAGAGGACAGAGTATTTTAATTGCTCAGAGGAACTCTTCCTCCTGAGTCAGAAATAAAGCTGTGCCTCTACATGCTGTCAATGGCAATATGGTGTTGGTTAATTACCCTTTGAATAGCATCTAATGCAGAAGTTGTGATGATCAGTGGTTATTAGAAACCAAAATGACCTCTATTTAGGACAAGGGATTTGGCTGCATCCAGTTTTTGGTGCTTTACATCTATTCTAGTTTTTCCTGTAGTTCCAAATGGATGTGTTGGTTTTGGTTTTTTTTTTGGTTGTTTCCATAAATCTGTTAACTGGTGGTGCTTTCTATAATATTTTGAGTTCCAGCTGAGAGACAGCTCAATTAAAGTGGAGGGGAGAAAGCCTCATGAAGAGATGGACATTTGATACATCCCACTGAAAGGCATTTGTAGAGCAAGCACCCAGTTTGTTCAAAAAGCATTTCTTTTATAGGTCTATTACCAATTGTAAGTTCCCCTTTTTTTTTGCCTCTAGTTCAAATGGAAAACCACTTGAAAGGAAATAACCAGGGAGTTTTAAGCTCCACACACAGCATTGCAGGCAGGTGATGCTGGGTGGGTGCTCGGTTGTGGTGAGGATGCGCAGCCGTGGGTTTGCACGCAGGATGCCCCAATCCAGGCCTTCACCCGCCTGCATGTCGGGGTGCTTCAGCTCTCAGGATCCACAGGATCCACAGGATCCACAGGATTAATGGCCAGGTTGGAAGAGACCTTTAAGGTCACGGAGTCCAACCCAGCCCTGACACCTGGAGCAGATCACGGCAGCGAGTGCCACATCCAGTCTGTTTCCACCACATCCAGGGATGGCGACTGCACCGCCTCTTCTCTGGGTCGTGGCAGTTCCTGCAGCGCTCGAGGGCTGTTTGAGGACTCTGCATCTCTTGTTTAACATGGCAGCTCGGAGAGTCCGGATAGGTTTAACATGCTCTGCCTTCACTTCTCGTTTCATTTCAAAGGAGCGCTTTCTGCTCCCCGCGGAGGCTTCAGTCACAGAGGGCCAAAGGACAGGCGGAATTCAGGCAAGTGGTGGGATACCAGCGGAGCTCTTCGGCCTTTCCACCGAGCGTTTTGCTAAATCCTGGCTCGATTAATCCCCTTAAACATCTGTGCATCCTCTGCTCCGCTCAACTCACCCCTGGCCGCCTCTCCCTTCCGTGGGGGGCTCCGGCAGCACCTCCCAGAGCCTCAGAGAACCTCAGAGAACCTCAGAGAACCTCAGAGAACCTCAGAGAAGCTCACGGAACCTCAGAGAAGATCCCAGAGCGGTGCTCCTGGCCGTGCGGCTCCCGCCCGGTCCCTGCGGGACGGAGCGGGCCGTGTCCCCGCTGTCCCCCCGCTGTCCCCCGGGCACAGCCGGCTCCAGCTCGCCTCCTTGACGTCATGTCTGTGGCGAGGCTTCAGCAGGCGCAGTGGAGGCAGCAGCGCGTTAAAGTTTCAGCTGCAGCCCGGCGCTCCCGGCGCGGGGAGCTGCGTGCGGCCGCAGCTGGAACATCTGGAAGCGTTCAGTGTGTCTGTGCCGGCGAGAGCCAGAGAGAGAGCGGGGAGCGAGCTGAGGGAGGGGAGGGAGTAAGGGGCTGGGACTGTGCTCTCTCTTCCTCTGCAGAAACAGCTCCCTGCCAACACAACGCGCTCAGAATGGCTTTGAAGAGGAGGAGCAGCAGCGTTTGAACATCTCCCTTTTTTTTTTTTGCCTCTTCCTCCTGTTGTTGCTCTTGTAGTTGGTGGATTTTAAAAAGACATTTAACCCTCAGAGGTTTGTCCTGGATGCTTTTGCTTTTTTTCCTTTTTTTTCGCCCCCCCTCTGTCGTTTCCCCCCTTCCTGTTCTTTTTTATGGTTTAACAGCCAGAGGTGCTGTGCTAAATTCTTGGAAGGGGCCCGGATGTACTGAGGATGCATTGCAATTTCACTAAAGGAGGCAGTAGTGGAAAGGATCAGGTTTTGGTGTTTGATGCAATAATGGGAATCAGGTAATAATAAAAGGGGAAATTCTGCAGCTCCGTTCTTCCTTGAATTTTACCAAGCCGATTTTCGGAGGGATTATTCTGGACTCGTTTTAAATGGTCAATGAAAACAAGAGGATGTACATTCCAGAAGAAAACCATCAAGGTAAGCCTGAGATTTACCTCCGAGGACCTAGCAACCATTCCCTCCCCTGCCCTTTGTCCCTTCTCTCCCGGCCGGGCTCCGCCGCCGCCGCGGGCAGAGGCGGCCGAGGGGCCGGGGCCAGCCTTTGACACCGGGCTCCACTCGGGGCTCCGAGACCCCCGCAGCCCCCGGCTGCTCCTCGGGAAAGCCCGGCCAGGGAAAAGTTGCTTTGAGTGGCCGCGGTCGCCTTTTGGGGCGAAGGGGCGAGGAGGGAGGGGGAGCGCCGGGGGCTCCTCCGTGCCACAGCAGCCTTATCCGGCCGCAATTAGCGGATCTTTCCTAATGAACCCGCTCCTCCTGTCCTCCATCTGGGCTTCCTAAGGCACCGGCAGAGGAGCCCTTCCCTTCTCTTACGCTATTTCCAATGTCTCGCACCAAAGGGGAGGGGAAGGGAGCATTATCTGTTTACACACATGTGCACCATACGTGCGCCCGTGCTGGGAGATCGAGGGGCACCGGGGGCATTGAAAATCAAACTCGGCTTTTACTGGGGACGCAGATTTCTGGCAGGATCGCCCTCATCATGGAT